TTGCGACGGTGCCACAAATGTCTCAAGTTGGCAAATGCCAACCGAATCTTTTGTATACGCGCCGACACTTCATCTGTGATGCATCCGCCAGGTGAGATATAGATGCCCAGATAGTAAAATTTGTCTACTTTCTCTACTATTTCCCCAGTCAGAGTGAGACTGGGTGCTGGACCAACCCCATCTTGGAGCAACATTTTACACTTTGAAGGTGCAAAACGCAAACCGAACATGGATACACTAGCACTCAAGCTATCCAGAAAAGCTTGCAACTTACTTCACTTAGTAGCACAATGTCGTCTACATACTCTAAATCAGACAGTCTGTCACCTGGGAGTAACTACCGCTATCCTCACACGAGGATAGAGCTGTTTCAAGAATGAAATTTATTTATTTAACTTAAGTTAAATAGAAAAGGAGAGGGGGCAACCCTGTCGAACACCACTTCCCATGGTGAACTCGGGTGAAGAAGTGCCGTAAGTCCGGACTCGATTTCGGCTATTAGTATAAAGTGATTGTAATATTAAAAATAACTTCTTGGGCACACCCCTCAGAGAGAGGCAGCGCCAGAATTTGGAGCGGTCGACTGCGTCGAAAACCGCTTTCAGATCGAGGAAGATAGAAATGGTGAGCCTAAGAAAGGAGTATCTCTGTTTTAGAATTGGACGAAGAGGGAAGAGGTGGTCGATACAACCTCGACCAAGTCTGAAACCAGCCTGGTTCTCACGCGTACACCGTTTACGTGCGGCAGACAATCGACGGAGTATGATACCAGCGAGAAGTTTAGATGCAACGTTGATTAAACTGATTCCTCTGTGGTTTTCACAGGAGAATCTATCACCTTTCTTGTAAATCGGTATGATCATCGATTCACACCATTGAGTTGGAACTTCTTCCCTCTCCCACACTGAGCCCAGGAGTTTTGTTAACTCCAAAACCAAGGCTGGACCTCCATCCTTAAAAACGGATGGGGACAGCCCGTCGGGGCCGGAAGCCTTATACAGTTTGAGATAACTTATTTACCCGGTAACCTCCATTTCATATGGAGGACTGATGTCAACTGGCAGTATTTGCACAGTTGAACCGGGTGGGGGAAGGTCTTGTGTCGGAGACCAGCTGAACTGTGTCTTTAAATATTCTGCCCGACGTTCAAGACGGCGTTCTGAATCAGTGTGCCGTCAGACTCCTTAATTACTTCATTTACGCCTGCTTTCCTTGCTCCTGTACTCCTAATTAAACGAAAAAGATTGAGACTATTACCGATAGCCGCAGCCTTCTCCATCTCTCTATACTCCCCTACCCACCACTTCTCGCGGTCATTCCTCAGACTCTTGATGAGCTGGCGTTTAAGGGATTTGCGCGCTGTGCACTTCTCATTCCTCAGACTCTTGATGAGCTGGCGTTTAAGGGATTTGCGCGCTTTGTCGTATTTTGGATCCGAAGGAATGGCTTTGCGAGCGTCCAGCAAGGCAACTGAAGTCAGTGAGATCCATCGTTTTTATTTGATCGTGCGCCATTACGACTAGACTGCACCTTGACGTGGTGTGATGACCTGCATGCTCCCATGACTCTACGAGCTGTACAGGATGGCTTTTCAAAGCCGTAGATCCAAGCACGCCGTAAAGGTCAACGGGTAGAGGCCAGACGAAACACAGTCTCACAAAGCCAGCTACTTGGGCACCTGGCTTCCTTGTTCTATCCATACCCGCTCCCGGAGAGGCCACTCCAGC